GGATGCCCACTGGTGGGCATCTCTAGTGCCCACTGGTGGATGGAAGTACTTGAATTCCAAAGCAAACCTACCTTTCAAAAGTGTCATATTCTAGGAGTTAAATCCCTGAATTAAGAGTCAATGTTGTCTTTCCCTCCAGGTAAAGAAGCTAACAGAGACTTAAACCTACAGTTTGAGGATTATTCATATTCACTGACTTTAGTTTTCTGTTCTGCTAATAAACACCTTTCTAAGCAAGATGCATCCAGTCAACCTTTCTCTACCTGGTGTCAAATGCGGCAGGGATCTGGGCAAACCATCCTTGCCTCTGTGACCTGTGAAGATGGCCCCATATCAGAAAATAGTTGCGTTTAGAAAACCTGTCTGTTCCGGCCCCACTGTCTTTCTGTGGTGTGTCAGTGTTCCACTATCTATACATACATATAATTTTATCTTAGTTTTTCAGTCAGTGTTTCTAGTCCAGACTGGGCCCAAACTGGCTGTGTAACTGAGTATGACCTTGATCTTCTGATCCTCCTGCCTCCACCTTCTGAGTTGCTGGGATTGCAGGTGTCTGTCTGCTACCTTGCTTGGTTTTATGTGGTGCTGGGGATTAACCCAGGCTTTGTGCGTTATTAGGTAAGCACTCTACCAACTAAATTAGAGCCCCAGCCCCCTAAATATAATATTTTAATAGGACAGATTTCTAAAAAGGACAACAAGAGTCTATGTGGTTCCATAGTAGAAATGGCTTATATTTTATCTATAATTTTCCAAAGGCTGTAAAATCCAGTCATTGTGTTTGTACTGAGTGTCTTCCCCCAACTCTCTACTTATTGTTCAAACTTGATACATGTTTGTTGTTGTTTGTTGAGACAGAGTCTCATTATGTAGCCCTGGGTGGCCTAGAACTTACAGAGATCCATCCACCTGCCTCTGCCTCTGCTTCTGCCTCTGCTGGGATTAAAACCAAGTGCCAACACGCCTGGCCCAACACTTGATACTTCTTATGTGGAGCCTGATAGGAGCATCTATGGGTGGTAGGCCTTGTAACCTGGCTACAGTTTGGGGGTTTAGAAAAATGAGTTTAGGTTCAGCTGGAAACATACTTGTGAGATGTGTATATGAGAGTAAGAAGAAAGAAAATGTCTTATATTTGCGGACCATTTTCCTCTTTCAAATCATCTCTTCTTTGCCTGAGACTGCAGAGTGAGACATTTTCAGAGTTAAGTAATTCCATCTGTATGTGCAATGCTTACAGAATTTCTGATTAGGGATCTTTGCTGGTAGACCACAGAGATCAGATAAAGTCCTTGGAAATATTACATTTTGAAAATAAATGGTTCATAATTGTTGGTAAACAGAACCCTGATATTTTCAAATCTAAATAAAACCATAAACTTGTTACTGATGAAGACATAGCAAAGATATAAATTATTATATAAAAATTTTTTGCTTTTACAGTGAGGATTTTTTTTTTTTTTTTTGGTTTGGTTTAAGTCATTTTGAAGGAAACTACTAATTTGGGCCTGCCCCTATAAGCCTCCTTCACATTCATCTTCTGGCGAATATGCAATGCACTTCAGTGCTCTGCTAGATCCCTAATGGAGTTCCACCTTTGCTTTTTTATGATCTAAGAAGATTCTGGTCACTTTTCTTGTACCTCTAGTTCCATGGCATGGACACAGAACGTGCACTTCATGGACTCAACAGAACTCCTGATGACATGGACATTTCTGGCCAAAATTACTGCCTTTTCCCCAGGACCGCCCACCTCAACAGTAAAAAGGGTAAGAGCAACACAGTGCAATATGGGGTCCTGATCTAGCCTGCTTGACATTGGGGAGAGAGGCAGATTTCTGAATGTCAACACAACTCTCTATGAAAGGTCCCTCAGATAAAGATTCAGCTCGGACTTCACAAAGGTTTTCAAAAATAATCTTTTGAGCAGCAATTGCTTCTGTTCAGTATTATTATCCTCTCCCACGATCAATTGAGCCCAACTGTAAAAAGCATATTTAGGATGTTTTCAACGGTGCAAACTGACAGTCTCAGTCACCTGAAACTCATATTCATTTCCTAGGACTGTGGACTCTTTGGTGGAGTTTGAAAATTGGCATTAATTTTACGAATGGTGATAAATTTGATATATTTTTAGAAAAGTATCAAAGCACAATGCTTCAAGTTGCATAAAAATTTTAGATAATAAATGCATGCAATATCTGTATAGTTTCTGACTTTCCCCCTGAATTGTCTATATTAATGCATTTAACCTGCTTGCATCTTACTGGATTGCAAGTAATTTATTCTTGCTATATTGTAAGAGTGTGTGTGAACGGGCCTCATTTTATTTCCGTCTAGCTCACAGTGCAGTCTTCTTTTATGTTAAAAAGAATATTTTGAAATGGATATAAGAAGAGTACACAACATTTCTCACATATACTGAGCCATGCAGTAAATAGCTATAAAGCAGTATCCAGAGACAGGCTAACCACTGCCAATCTTTGCAATCCTAAGCAGTCCTCAGAGAGAACACTCTGAGAACAACTGGGTCTGGTGCCACTGTGAGTGTGTGGAATGTTCCCAATTTTAATAAATCGATGAGGAAACTGTGGCTTTCTGGAAGTCTCTAACAATGAACAGAAGGAGGCTTTCTACTGAAGGAAGCATCGAGCTTGGCTACTTTTCAGCTGCTTAAACCCTTAAATCATGTAAAGCACAAACGACTTTGGCTAACAAAGGACTTTATCTATGTGCAGTTTCCTTGGGGAGGCCATTCTGAAACAGAGTTTTTTCATACTATGAAGAATTTACTAACCACAGAGAAACTGCTTCAGACCACCCATCTCATCGGAACAAGAACCAAGATCACCTGACTGGGACTCAAGTTGAGAGGCCGGCTCTTAAAGAGCCAAGCAACCCATGCCAAAGGCTCTGCTATGTAAATACCCGACAGCTCCGGCATGCCAGTCCCTAACACTGCTTTAAACACCAGCCCAGAATGTCTGCAGTCCCTCCAGGAGGGGGACCCCTGAAAGGCTTCTTTTGCAGTTGACTGAAAACAGAGGTAGAATGTGGGAAATAGTCACACTAATCAGAGGGCTGGTCGGATGCTAAAGGGAAAGTGGGCTTCTGAGATCAACCAGTCAGACCTGCACTGACCTCTGCACTCTGAAGAGTGTCCTGGGGGTGTTCAAAAAAACAGCTCTTCCAACAGATGGGCCCTCAGTGTACCTGACCTTTAGAAAAGTGTTTCGAGCTAAGTGCTGGCTGTATACACCATGTGCATACACCATGTGCATACACCATGGAAGAGAAGCTCAGATCCTACCATGTTTCCTGCAGTTTAAGAGTTTAAAAAATCAGCCAGGCGTGGTAGCGCACGCCTGTAATCCCAGCACTCGGGAGGCAGAGGCAGGCAGATCTCTGTGAGTGCAAGGCCAGCCTGGTCTACGCAGTGAGTTCCAGGACAGCTGGGGCTACAGGGAGACCCTGTCTCAAAAAGACCAAAAAAA